TCAAGAACCCAAGAAATATCATGAGATGAATCGTTAGATTTAATTATGTATATACCTGCGAAAGATGGCTTGATATTTCCTTCCTTGATGGCTTGCAGGTACTCCGGGCAGCTTCTCTTCCAATGTCCTATCTTGTGGCAGTGGTGACACTCTGCCTCCTTCGGGTTAGGGCATGGTTTAGCGGGATCAACTTTGGTCCCACTAGAAGAGGCACCATCTCGGGCTTTCACCTTGCGATAGTTCTTACACGAAGCCTTCCTCTTCTTTCCCTTTCCTTGTCCAATTGCCAAGACAGGAGCTGCGGGCGGATTGGGTGTTGGTGCAACAGACTTGTCCTTGAAGTTGCTTTCAGCGACCCTCAAGAAACCTTGGAGTTTGCTTAGGGTGACCTCTTCTTTGTTCATGTGATAGGTCATCCTAAATTGATTGTAGCTTGGAGGCAAAGAGTGAAGCACCATGTCTATCGCCAAGTCTTCCCCAAAGTCAATGTTTAACTTGCGAAGGCCGTCGACATACCTTTGCATCTTTTGCAGGTGCACGGTAAGAGACTCTCTATGACCCATCTTAGCGGAAATCATGTTAGTGAAAATCTCATAACGCTCTTGTCTCACGTTTTGATGGTATCTCTCCAATAAGTCTTGATGCATTTCGTACGGATACATGGCCTCGTAGGACTTTTGGAGTTCGGAGTTCATAGTTGCGATCATGATGCAATGTACCTTCGTTGCATTACGCTCGTGAGTTTCAAAAGCGGTCATTTCAGCGGGAGTAGCGATTTCGGGGTTGATTTTCTCGAGCTTCTCATCGAGGACATACTCCTTATCCTCATAGCGAGCAATCGTGCGAATGTATCTTATCCATTCGCTAAAGTTCGTTCCATCAAAGGTGACCTTTTGAAAAAGGCTCATCAAAGTGAATGAACTAGCAGCAACGTTGTTAGCGTTCGACATCTACAATAGAAAGGACAAAGATTGATTAGAATGTGAATCCCTAATTATCACCCAACAATAAAAATTAGGGCTAGGATCCAACAACAATATTTACACATTAGAAAAGGGATGTGGTAATCTAACATGCAAACAATTTGAAGGTAAGTGAACGACGATTCACTAATTCTCCACCATGAAAAACATAACTTTAAGTCCTAAATGTATTGAGAATTCCTAGGTTCGGATGAGATTCATTGAAACTTTTCAATGGCATGTATAAATCTCGATATGCCCCTCTTGTTTGGGACTGGGATACCGAGGATCACAAAGCGGGTGTGAATTACCATGCAAATTCACATGGTGCCTTCATTGTAACAATCACCTATTCGATGTGTCAGTAAACCACACACGCTCCATCGAACTATGATAAACAATGAATCACCCTTTTCCACCTTCGCTTAGAACCAATTAGTGTGCCGGTAAACCACACATGCTCCACTAACTTCTTAGCAAGGTGCAAAGTGTAATTTCATGGGATTACATCAATTCACTTTTCCTAAAGTAACTAAGATTGGGAAATTTTAAGAAAACTTGTAGTTACTTTGTATTTCTTATTATACTTTTAATGAGAGGATGGGGTTGGCCTATCCTACCCGTTCGGCTAACGATCCTCCACCGATCAAGCAAGCGGTGGGTGTGAGTGTACACCCATTAAGTGCCATTTTATAGGTCGCAACCTTATACCCACCTTATAGAACGGCTTCGTGAATGAGGCCTACTAACGGTAAGACTAGCATTTAAGTTATACATATATAGATATTAATCTTGTAATATTATATTAGTATCGGGTTGTATTTTAAACTTGTAAAATTCAGGGGTTTGAAATTTAAATTGTCTAAATTAAACTTTTAATCACAAAACATAAATTTCAAAACTTGAGGGCAAGTTTTAAACATTTAAAACATAAAGGATCAAATAACAAATAATTCAAATTAACAATTACTCACATAAGTATCCATATTTGATTTATTTATGATTTCTTGAATAACAATTTACCAATTTAATCAAAATAATTAATAATTATCATATAAGGAAATTAAATATTTTATTAATTGATAAATATCTTCAATTAGATTAAAAATATAGTCGTATATATCATAAAATCGGATTCGGGTTGATCTATTATGATTAAGGTAATTTTCTATAAGATAAATATGAAAAAATCCCGTTTTTGGCTCTTCCTGACACTCGGACTCGCCGAGTACCCAAACTGGACTCGCCGAGTTAGGCCAATTCGCCGAGTCCACTATGGGACTCGCCGAGTCCATGACTCAGAAACACGAAATTCGAATTTGCAGTTAGCATTCAAACAATTAAGCATCAATTTAATAGAAACCAATCTAAGCTCTGATACCACTGATGGGTTTTGTACATAAGAACATTCCTATGTGCGCATACAAACCCTAATGCTTGGATCTAGGTTTCTCTAAATAAACATGCATTGAATCCAAGACTCCTAATGGCTAATTAGGTATAATAACAATACAAAACCAGAGTTAGAAGCATACCTTGGAACACTTGTTTGATATTCTTGTTCTTGGAGCTTTAGAGTCACAATTGTCACTCCTCTAATGGCTTACAAACACCAACTAGCAAAGAGAATGATTTGAGAGAAAGGAGAGAGGAGGAAATCAGCTTGGGTATCCTTGCTGTAGAGGAGGTGCCGATTTCCCTATCCTAAGGGGTCTATTTATACTTGTAAGGCTCCTAGGGTTTCACACTTAAACCCTAATTGGATAACTTAGACTCTAAGCAATCCTAATCCTTACCATAGATAAGCCATGGATGAATTTGAGGCTATCCCAAGCCCTAGAATTCGTCCAAGCCATATCCTTTAAGGATTTACAGCCTAAAGTGTAACTATCAAACAATTGACAGTTTATACCCTCTTATTTAATTAATCTCTTTAAGTCACCAAATTAATATTAATTAATCTTTGACTTATATTAATCAAATAACGTTATCATTATATTATTCTCATAATATATTAAGAATATCTATTCTCTCAAAATAAATCATCCTACCAAGTTGCTATGGTGAAGGCAACCCAAAAGGACCACGCACAATCGGGTCAAATACTTGCCTAATATAGTTGCAGCCTTAGATACTATTCCAACAGATTTAGCGAATTTATACATACTATTACACTCATCTCTTTCATAGGAATAGGGATAAGGTTAACAGGGAAACTAATGCTGCATATTCCTATGGTACAACTATGGTAAACGTTTGAAGCATTAATCTCTCGATCATTAACTATTTCTACCTATAAGGGATGATCTAAATTTCTTAGGGTGTTATCAATGTTTTTGCAAAACTTAAGTGATACGAAAGAATGGCTAGCTCCAAAATGAAATAATAAGAAAGTAGGCATGGAGTTGACTAAAGACGTACCAACTACAACATCAGGTGCCTTCCTTGCTTCTTCTGTCATGAGTTGAAAAGCTCGCCTCTTAACCTTGGGGGCTTCAGCTCTCCCTTGACGTCTTTCTGTTATCCTCATAGTTGAAGGTGTTAGAGCATGCATTCCTCCCGCCTGCTTTAGAAGGGGACATTCAACCTTGAAGTGTGCGATCTGGTTATAGTTGCAAAATACATGCATGTTCTGTTTGCAGCCCCTATCATAGTTTCCTTCCTGGTCACACGTGTGGTATCCTAGTCCTGCTATACAAAGACCATCGTAAAACTTCCCACACTTAGTTTAAGTGCATAACTTTTGACATCCAAACCTTGAACTAGTAGATTTAAACTTCTCGGTTGTTGGCTTTTGATGGAGCCAAAGTCTACCACTTTTCCCTCGTCTAGGTTTCCAGCTTTATTTCTCTCCTCCTAGCAAGATCATGCATCTCTCCTCCTAGCAAGATCATGCATACTGAGGGTAGACAAAGGCTCACTACTAGAAAACTGGCCTTTAATGACGCGCAAATAATGACACACACTGATAGACGACGCGAATTTGTACGTGCCCTAAAAACTAATGTTAGTTTTCCAAAATTTTAAGGATTGAGGACGCGCATTTATACGTGCCATAAAGTTAGTGTTAGAAAAGGATAAAAAAGTAATGCGGAGGGCGCCTTTCATAAAATGTGGGTCGTGTAAGAGTGTCGCTTTATAATTTTTTAATGAAACACACCTTTTAGGGGGGAAATGATAAGGTGGAAACAAAATCCCTAAATTTTTTGAAGACCCGCTCATTCTTTTCTCTCCACCTGCCGATGACCTTCATTTTCTCCCCTCCTTCTCTCTGTAAAACCTAACAGCCACCACCACCAGAAACATGAAGACCATTCTCTCGATCGTATCTTTATTGCGATGATTCTTTCTCGATCGGATCGAAGACCGCTCACTCTCTCCTTAGATCTCCCGCGATTCTAATCCCCGCTCTCTGTAACACCCTCGCTTCCTTCCAGAAATCGAAGACCATTCTCTCTTGATCGTATCTTTATGGAGACGATTAGACACAATAATCTGAACATAAAATTGGTAACAGAACTTGTCTTCACCTCTACCCTACTCCATCTACAACGGATCCTCACATTTACAAACCCTAGTCCAGTTGCGCTTCTAGCCTTGGTCCTTTTTCTTCATCCGTTCAGCAAATAAAGGGAACACGGCTTCTCATTTACAAACCCTAGTACAGAAGCGCAAGGATTTGGTTTGACCAGTGGGTTGTGTTGATTTAGTTTAATTGACAGCTTAGGGCTAATCATGGTAGGCTCAATTGTAATAATCTCAATGCAATTCTCTCTAGTTGAATTCTACTTTTCTGTTTGTATAAATGAACTGCCTTGTAGTTTTTGATTTGTGTATGCTTTAGCAAACATCTTTGAGCTACCTATGTTCAATGGATATGTAATTTCAGTTTTAGGTTTAGACCTATGGTCTACTGTTCATGTTTAGGAGAATTTACCGTGTAAAATATGTTCTACTTATAACTATTACATGGTGTGTCTACCTAACTTTTTGATATCATTACAGAATAACTCTCCATTTCCAAATGGAGGAGATTTAATGGCAGACCTTGAGGAGCCTTTGGTCAAACATCGATCTAATCACATAACAGGTTCTAAAATGGTAGAAACAAGGGAAAAACGGATCGAGAGCCACATCTAAAATCGTTTGACACAACTTGAAGGTTGCCATAAGAAGCATTTTTATTATACTTTAACATTGTAGAGAAATATTCAGATTGCTTGGTAATCTCTGTGTAGTTAAATGTAGTTTCTTTTTGGTAGCATAAACTTGATTTTTGCATTTGGCCTATTTTCATAATTACATCAAGGGTGGAAATTTGATTATGGGAGATTAATAGAAAGCACCTTCATTGTCTCCATGTTCTTGCCTTTGGATTCAAGAATGCTTGATATCTTGTAATGGAATTGAGACCAGTCAACTCCAATATATTTCTGTTATTTTCATTGTTTCTGGTTCCCCTTCTTGAAGAAGTTATTACTATGTTGATGGTTTGAAATCACATTACATTGTATTTAAATGGAATTCTCCTTTCACAGAATTCGAGTTGTTTTACCATAATCTTTGTAAGGAATTAAAGTCCTAATGCTCTGTAAACCAACACCCTAGACCTTTATTTGATGTATTATACAATTCTACATGAATATTTACTGGCAGGTGAAGTTGTTTGTAGATATCATTTAACTTTACTCATTTTTTTTTATCATGAATTTAGAATTACCTTTAAGCAGAGGTGAAGACCTTCAGTCAAAGTGTTTGCTTGAACTCCATGAACTTAAGGTATATTGTAGTTTATAATATCTTGTTTTTCCATATTTTCTTTTGTATCTAAAGATTAACATTTAATGGGTTAAATGCAAGAAAAAACTATGTACTTTCATCTATTTCCTTATCATAGCATTCTACTTGCATCTTTTTCTACTACAACATTGTACTTCAGTAGGGTTTGATGACTTAAGAATTCACTTGTAATTTAGTGTTTCTATAATACCCATAACCAGTTATTTTAATAAACAGGGGGTCGTAGAGAAGATGATTGGACTTGCCCTAGCTATGGAAATGTGAATTTCTCTTTCAAGACAACATGCAATTTGCGTAATTGTACACAACCTAGACTAGCAGATCATAATTCTGTAATTTCCACATTTTGTTTATATTTATACACCATTTAGCCCCTATTGTTTCATTTTAGTCCCCACTTTATGTAACTTTCAACTTCTTTTACACTTGTACAACACTACAACTAATAGTTTTACTGTGTTGCAGAAATCTGGTGGAAAAGCAATGCAGACCCCAGAAGGGTATTTATCTGTTACTACTGGTCATTACGTTGGTTATGGTCCACCTTCATCAATGTATATTAGTGTACAACCTTATGGCTCCTCTCTCTCTATGCCACCTCCTTATGATGTTCATGTTCCCTCTGCTTATCATTATAGTTACGGAATTCACCTTTCTGGAGGCAGCAACCCCTATAGACCCCTCCCACCCCTACTCTGGTGGCTCAATCATAGGTACACTAAATATAATAACTTTTATTTTTTCTCATTTTAAAATTGTTATATATATATATATATATATATATATATATATATATATATATATATATATATATATATATATATATAGTTGGTATGTATGGAGTACCTCCGATGATCGACCGATACTTGCCTTTGGGCCACACTCCAATGGTATGGTTGTATAAGTATTAAAATCTTTTTGTTATAAATTTATAATGAATTGACTGTTTTGACCCTTGAAAATTGATAGGGTCTACGACCTGGGTTTTATCGAGAAGAGAAAGCAAAGAAAGGTGTTGAAAACATTTTGTATGTTGATTTTATTTTTGGATGAACAGATAGCTAATGTTATTATTATTATTTTATGTTTTAGATGGAAAAAGTGATAATGATTGGGTATGCCCTAATTGTGGAAATGTGAATTTCTCATTTAGGATAGTTTGTAACATGAGAAAATGCAATACACCTAAGCCAGGATCTCAGGTATTTAATATTTTTTTTTCTTTACACCTAGTTTCATCTTCTGTATTTCTTAAACAACAATTGACTAAATGTTATGATAAAACTTTTTTTTTGTTTGAATTTGTTTCCAGGCTTCAATGTCAGGAAAGAACTCCAGTAAGTTAAATTTTGTTTTTGGAAATCATAGCTTTGATATTCAGAAATCATAAATGATAATGTGTTTGTTTTCAGAAGGAGATATGCATGATGGGAGCTAGAAGTGTGATCAATGTAACAACATAAACTATCCATTCAGAACAAAATGAAATAGACAAAACTGTGGTGCTGAAAAACCATCAGAATCCGGGAAATCCCCTTCATAAGAAGCAGAAGAAAACAATCAGGTATGTTTACTTTCATTTTCATCAAACTTATGTTGCTTAAAAATGTGTTTCTTTCCATTTACATTTTCTAATTCTATAAAACGTTTTGATAAATGTAAAAGTCAAAAAAGCTATTAGCAGCTCTTTTTACTCCAGTCAGTCATCATCTCCCTTTGGTCATTTTAGCAAAGTTGTTGTTGATGGGTATAGTCGTCTTTTTTTAATCCACATTTATTTACTCATTTGTGGTTGTTGTGTCTTGTCAACTTTGCATCCAATAAAAAATATATTTACAAAAAAATGGTATTTGTGGTGGTTATGAAGAAGGTTGGCTGGATGTTTAAGTCTCAAGGTCTAAGTTAGAAGGAGATATCTAGTATGTGATTGATGTTATGAGAAATGGAAACAAAATGAAATTTGTTCTGAAAATACATCAGCAGCGATGGTTGGCATAATCAAGGTTTGACATCTTCTAAAAAAATATTCTGACCTCCTACTTTGTCCCATACCTGTTCAGCTGTTGTTGGTTTTCACTAATTGATTCTTTGCAGTTGTTAATCGGGCTCTTCAATTTGGATCCAAACTGAGTGTTTGACATTGTAAGTTCTACCCTTTCTAGTTGTTTTGACTTTGTATTGAAGTTGCAATAAATGAGGTACTTGAGTTGACTGTACTCACTAATTTAGGTATTGGAGTGTTTCAAACTTCATCCGGATAACAATGTCTTCTTGAACCTGATCCCTGTTTTCCCCAAGGTACAACACTTATATATGCCCGATTAAAGACTAAAAGGCTATTATAAGGGTGCATGATTCACAATATATTCTCTCAAGGGATGAGATCTATAAAAGAATTGCAATCATTGGGCATGTTTGCTTGGTGTTGGAATTTAAGATTCCTTTCCATGGTTGGCGTGTTTGGATGACTTGCGAAAAAAAAAATTTAATTCCTTTGTTTTTAAAAGTTTCCTTATTTACGTTTAGGTCAGAATAAATTTGGGAAGTTACGTTTTGATTGGTGATCTCCCTTGGTGAAAATAGGTTAATTGGGGAAGTTTCCCCCAAGGTCAGAATAAATTTGCATGCATTATCTAAGCCTTTTTCTGAAAGGCTAATTGTACATTATCCAATCTCTTCTATTCTGGGCATTTCTTGCAGTCTAATGCTTCACAAATTCTTGGGTTCAAGTTCCAATATTATCAATGTTTGGACGTAAATACTACTGTACCCTTTGGGATCTATCAGCTAACTGCAATACTGGTTAAAAAAGAATTTCTTGATCTTGATAGTATGTAATTATTCATTCATTCAGTTTTTGCTTTCAATAAATTTGTTTCCTTAAGAATCATACTGTTTCACCTAGGATAATAATGGGGACTAAGACTTATATGGACATTTCAGTTGGTTATGGAAGAATCTTTGCTTTAGTACATCGTTGCTTTGCTTTTGTTTTCTTTTTATCTCTTCAATGAAAGTTCCTGAATTTGGCTGAAGAGGTTTGTTATTTTTGTTGCTTTCTTAGTTGCTAATAATTTGGATATGTATTATTTGCAGCTTGCTACGACATGCTATAACTTTTATCAGTCCACGCCAACAAAGTTGGGTGGAGAAAACTACCTCCATTCAGGGCAGGTTAGTAGTTTCTCATGATGATGCGTTGTTTCTTATGTAATTAAAAGCTTTTTGGTTTCAGCTTTTTGATTGTCTGATGAATAAAAGTTTTTTGGTTTCAGCTAATGTTCAAGTTTGTCATCTACACTCGATGGACAACAACAAATTTTTTGACATGGAGGATTTGTCTTTTACATTATATATCTGAAACAAAGTGTCCCTTAATAGCAATGTAATAATAGGTTAGATAGTTAGGGATTGTATTTTATGCAATGGATTGTATTTTTTGTATATGATTATTTGTATGACATTAAATTTTATGCAATGCATTGTATTTTTTTGTATATGATATTTTATTTTCTATTATGAGACATTAAATACAAATTTAATTTGAAAATTGGTAAATCTATAAATAATATATTTTTTAAACATTTAAAACTATGATACGCAAATATGTGTGTCATCTTCATTTATGACATGGCCTTTCTTGACATGGGCTTTCTTGATACGCATTGTGTGTCATTAACACGCGTGTCGTAAGGTTACGACACGCGAATGCGTGTCGTCTTCCTTTATGACAGGGCCTTTCTTGATACGCGTTGCGTGTTGTAAACGCGCGTTGTAATTGCACGTCGTAAATGAGCATCGTAAAAGCGCGTCGTCTTTCTTTATGACAGGGCCTTCCTTAACGCGCATTTGCGCGTCGTTTGAGCCCTTTACGATGCGCAATGAGCATCGTAAAAGGCTGTTTTTCTAGTAGTGGCTCTCTCCTTTAACTACTTGGTGATCTCCATCACTTTTTCAGTTGTCTCCTTGAGCGAAAAAAACTCTTGAGCTAGTCGCCCCTTTTCCACCAGTGGAACATACTCCTCGCTAAACTTCTCCAAAAACTAGTCCTAGGTCATGGCAGCCTACTCTACTAGTGTGTAATCGTTTGTGAAAAAGTTCCACCATTCCTTCGACCCATGATGCAGGAGATTTTACATGTACCTAAAGTTCAGTTTATCCGGGTGAGCATAGGTGCATAAGAATCCATCTACATCTAAGATCCATCTCATTATCGCAGTTGGATCTCTAACACGTTCAAACTTTGGGTGTTGACTATTATTAAACTCTCGATAGGGCATGTCCTTATCTCCAGATAGGGCTTTAGTAGCAACAACAAAAGTGGTGGTGGCAGTCGTACTAAAAAGGACATCATACTTTTCATCAAACAGTGCGATTAGTCGGGTCTTGATGATTCAGAACAATTATGGGATTATCTACCTTACAGGTGTTGCTATCGACGTCTCTATCTAATCATGTATATTAGCCTTAATTGGTCATGATGCTTTCTATCTAAAACCACAACCGCTCGCTCTCATGATCATCGCCATGATAAGGATGGAAATAGGAATGGCTTAATACAAAATTGAGCTATCTAAAGATAACACTCAACCCTTTCCAGTTCCTTAGTAATTTTATGACCCTTTCTCACTCCTGTTTGGATCCTATGCTTCCGGTAGTACTGACCCATACTACCTTTCACACCTATCCATACTCTATACATGAATTTTCCTAACGTTTCTAAGTCACTACACTCCCTTATCTACTTCCTTTTCAGACACTCAGTTGTTCAAATCACTAACTACTCTGTTTCCTAGATTTTCTTCTAGGTTACCTTTATCTGGAATCTTGTACTATAGGAAGACATTCCTAATATCAATAATATCCTTTCATATTCAAGTTGTATGCAATCCATGATTGGATAGTCAGTCGAATAACTAATTCTACCCTAAGACCACAACCAAACACGAAATAGGAAGTAAGACTAAACTAAGCATTCTAAGGCTATGGAATCCTAATTATGTACAACGCTAAAGAATACACTTAGTAACTATATGATGTAAGTAGAGGCTTAAGTGGTATAGAAAAGCAATCCATAAGGATGTAAGGTATCCTAATTATTAGTCAATTCTAACTAACAATTCCTAATAGAGATCCTTAGCCTTACACTAGCATGCATTTCTAACAGGTTTTATATTAATAGATAAAGCATTATGGTTATTTTGGGAATCACTTTCCTTCCTGAGCTCCGTCTGATTTTATGCATCACATCCTTTTACGCTTTATATCATTTCTTTTATGAAAAGTTTTGTTTAAGATATTCAGATCCTTAGTTTCAGTCTCGAATCCCACATATTTTCATCTAGTTTGCTCACGCTAGGGGTCTGATACCAACTTGTGACGTCCCAAAATTTCAAAGAATTGTTTTTCATTTTTAATTATTTTAAAATAGGTCTTACAAAAATTATATCTTGTTATTACATTATTAATTATAAAAGTATTTCAGCAAAGGTATATAAAACTTTATTGCGGCTTTGATGCAGATACAATCATGCGTGATCCATTTCATGGTCAGATGAACAACCTGCAAAGTAGTTATTCAACAATTGTAACCCAAAGCATACTGAATTCCCTCAAAATATTCCGCACCACAACAAATATATAATGCATACACATAGTGGCCTTCAACTTATAGCTAGTCTGCACCTTGACCATCAACATATATCTGACCCGTCATATATAGCCTTCTGCACATTGTTCGTCTACTCTCTTCTGGACCTTAGGATCAAGCTAGTTCGCCCAAGTCTATTGGCCTTCACCCAAGGTTGGTCCACCCTCAAACTCGGTAGGTATGTATATATATATATACATATATATATATATATATATATATATATATATATATATATATATATATATATATATTGATGAGATGAAAATACTCTTTGATCAATTAGTCTTACACAGGTTTATCAGAATGAACCAACAATGAGCTGAATGATTCAATAGATTCACGCCTCAACAGAGCTCGATGAAGAACATCCGCTGTAGAGGATTGGGATCTTGGTTTTTTATCCGATCTTGTTAGAGATGTTGATGGGATTGGATTGAGAATCGTCCATTCTTGATCGTTTATCCTGTTATAAGATCAGACTTCGTAATACATAATATTAGGGAAAGATTAATAATAAATGAGATAGTCAATTAAGGAGTGACGGCTCAATAAATATCAATGAATGCGGAATGAACCCTAATTACTTCTTTGACAGAAGAGATGTGTATGAATTAGACAGCTTCGTACTCTGATACCAATTGATGAGATGAAAATACTCTTTGATCGATTAGATCTTACACAGGTTTATCAGAATCATGCAAATGAAATAACAAACAAAAGAATGAACCAACAATGAGCTGAATGATTCAATAGATTCATGCCTCAGAAGAGCTCGATGAAGAACT